TTTAGAAACACTATCCTTTATAAAAAATATATAAATTTTATGTATTAATTAAATTTCACACATGAATATAGGTTTTTGACATTTTTGACAGTGAGGTTTTTGACGTGACGGTTTAAACCATGGTTTAAACTGTCAAAAACTGTCACATGTCAAAAACCTGCCAACCCTGAAGAAACTAAAGAAAAACATCACAGAAAGGGACTAACTCAAGAGACGGAAATATCCCCTGTTAACATTTTAAAAAAACTACATAAATAATTTCTTGAAACTAACACAATCAGGTATTTTTTTTAATGAGCCTAATTACTTACGCAGACTAAATCGTATCCACTTTTACTATAATAAAGTTAGTTATTTTCTTTGCTGTTTTTTCTTTAAACAGTTCACAGTGAGACAGGTTTTCTCTCAATACAAAGAAGACAAAGAATAAAAAATGGCACGGTTTAAGAAAATACTTTCATCGTGATTTTTATCCGAATTAGAATAGTTTTCAACATTATAAATCACTTTTAATTGCTCATACATGTGCCATTTTAAACAGCTTAAATATTTCAGCATGAATATAGATCTTGCATAAAGAGGCAGAATCAGTTTTTATATAAGAATAATCTAACCAATTTCAATATAATATCTAAATTTTGTCTTGAATTTGTTTAGGCCTGGGAGTTGTTGATTAGAAGATAGTGCGACGAGTACTTAAAGTAAGCTTATAGCTCTCTATTTATAATGATGAAGAGTATAGTTGAGGCCAGATAGATAGCAGAAAGTTGCAATGAAAAATCAGAAAAGGTTGTTGGCTCTGAAAAATGATCGGAGTTACCATCCCTTAACATTGATATCGGCTCAAAGAGTTGATTTGGACCCCAAACCTCGCAGCTTTCGAACACGGACGGTGACGTCACTATTCCCCGGAGTCTATTCTATACCACCGTCCGATAGTAAAACAAAATCCAAACCTCGCAACTCCCAAAGAGAGCGGTGAAGGGAACAAAGCCTGCCTCGAACAAAGGTTCGGACCCTCCCCCTAGGAAGTGACGTTTTGTATCGATAGTTATAAGAAAGTGACCAATGGCTTTTGTTTNTACCAATTTTCTTTTTTTTTTTAAAGAAAAAGAGAAAAAAAATATTTATTTATTTTTTTATTGGTTAAAAAATTGTTTATTGCGAAAAATTTGAATATTTAGAGTAAATATTTTTTTTATGCTGGGGGGAGGGACATTTTTTTATTTTTTTTTTGGTAAGGACTATTTTTAGACAAACTTATTGAATATTCAATTCACATCCTCTCACTTTTTCAAGTTTTAATTTTTTAAATTTTAAAACGCAATTTAAACTATTTATTATTTTATTTCACGTCATACATTTCGAATTTTTTTCATTAGTATAAATGAATTTACAGTTTTATTTTTTTACGAATATCTTCATTATTAATTATCGGTCTTTATATTGACAAATTTTTAAAAAAAATTATAATAATTTTTAATAAAATTGTATTTTCAAACAAATATTAAAAAAAAAGAAAAATATTAAAATTCTAAAAAAAATATTAGTATTGCCCAGATTAGTAGTTCCCAATGGTGTTTCGAGGAACCCTAGGGTTCCGTTAAGAATTACAGGGGTTCCACTAGTTAATACTTTTTATAGTCGCATTCGACTATAAAAAGTGGACCGACCACCCAAGTGGAACATTCTGCTTCTGCATCCTAGAGCCCAAGTTCTCGATTAACGGTTCCCAATCGGTGTTCCGCCAATCGGTGTTCCGGGGAACATTATGGTTCCGTGGAAAAGTTACAGCGGTTACACGAGATAGTACCTTTATAGCCACCCAAGTAGAATTTTCAACTTCTGCACCCTGGAGTACAAGCTCTATGAGAGTGGTTCCCACATAGTGTTCCATTGAACCCTAGGGTTCCATTAAGAGTTACAGGGGTTCCGCGAGTTAGTACTTTTTATAGCCAGTGATGAGTTTCAAAACCTAAGATTGTATTTAGATACAATAATTTATATAACATTTCGTTTGCCTTAATGAAATTAATTCTGAGAAAATGACAATAAAATAGAAAAGGCATTTTCTAAAAGAATATATATAATACATAATATTTTTAATAACAATATAATGAATAAATTATGAAAAGGACAGGCACTCATAAAATATTGCATTAGTATTTCTCATAACGCTTTTTGATCAAAATATTTATCATCTTTAATAAAGATATCTGTTTCCTTAATTACCATTTCCAACCTTTTCAGCAGTTTTTCCATTTCGAAGTGGAGCATAATTCGGCTTATTTTAACTTATTTATATTATTTATTTCAAATTATTTATTTTCAACTTAAACACTAAAAACGAATTCCTAATTAGACTAAATAAAGCACAAGAACTGAAAATTTAACTTTCGGATATTAATGATAAAACGATGAAAATTCTTCCTTCCTCTAGTTTATTTTAAAAATAGTTTTTAATAGGCTATAACGTTCACTATTTCCATAAAAAACTCTATTTATAAAGTCGGATGTTCCGCCGAAAGAAGGTTAATTATTTAGGGTTCCATAGCCGAAAAATATTGGGAGCCGCTGACCTAGATCAACTAATTCAAGTACTTGAATTAGTACGTACTAAAACAGTCTAAACTAATTTGTACGACCTCCTCTTATAAAGACTCTTCATTTATAACGACCATTAAAAAAAAGAATCATGGAAATTTTAAAAAATATTTTTATTAAATAAAAAGGAAAAATATTAAAAAAAGGGAAAATATCGTAGTACATTCCTATACAACTGAAAAGAGGAGGAGGGGGAAGGGCTAAAGGCATGCAACCGGTCTCTCCCCAGATGGCGTATTCGAGTGTTGCGATCTTGCCAATGTTTAATGTAGGTTTTCAGTTCCATATAGTTTTCCAGATTAAAAGATTTTAATCTATATGAAAATCAATAGAGAAACTAACGTACTTCCTTCCACGATGACTTTCCACACGCTAATGGGGAAAACACGTGAAGTGTTGCCATAGGTAGAGAGTTCTGCACTACGCCACCTGCAGCCCATTTCGATCGTCAATAGTGCAACTTGCAGCTTATGCGCCATCGAGTCCAGACACAGGAAAACTGCCGAATTTATAATTAACTCTGAACTACTTCGATAGAACGATCTAATTTCTTATTAACATGCGATTTAGCGATTACTACGAGAAGGCAGCTCTCACCTATCTTGTCAATGTTCAACCTTTTATCCTTTTTATATTAAATGTTAAGTTTGATTGTTAAATTATTGTCGTTATTTCATCTTTTGCTGCACA